GTAGCCATCTCCCTTCCTTATGGATCTTTCCCATGGCATGCAAGCGTTTTGAGACGGCTATTGGAGTAACATTTAACTGTTTCGACAATTCTAAAAACGTTTGAGCTGGATTCTCATCAAGCAATTCTTGCAGCTCGACATCTTCAAATTTTTTTGGCTGTCCTGGACGTTCTTTGTCTCTCACATCAAATTCATTTTCAATCGATTGGAAAATTTCTTTGTCGTCGAGAAATCTAACCTGTGAGGATTGAATCACTTTCAGCGATGCCTAAACCACAGTATATACAGTAGCGCAACTCTCTGTCGGCACCTTTGATGTTAGTGTTGGCCAAAATGGAGTGCGCATGCGTGAAATAAGCAAGTTACCACAAGTTACCTAGCGTTACCACAGTATATCTTTCTCTTTTTATCCTTTTCTCGCTCTGTCAAAACTCACTAGATCTATTCGCATCGCATTCCAACTAATGCGTTGGAGTAAGTAAGAGCTGTTATAGGAGCATATTAGAGTTAAATTAGAGCACGCAACGCGAATAAATCTATTGCAATGAAATAATCTGAACTTAATGAAAATTAATAAAAATAAATTGTAAATATATTGAAAAATAAAGAGAATATTAGGAGAAATATTAGGAGAAAATATTAGTAGAAAAATTAGGAGAAATATTAAATTACTTTTAAAACATATATGTACTTATATAAAGAAGAATTCAAATATTACATAATTGTAAATATATGCTATAAAAATGTTGTGAGTTGATATAAAAAAATTTATATATATGTATATGTCCAAAAAATAAATTTAAAATACAATAAATAAAAAATTTAATATATGAGCCGTTTATTTTGAAAGTGGCCTAAGTCCATTTTTCAATGTTTTGTTGTTGACCTTTGTAGTAGCGTGTACAACTTGAAATTAGCTGTCATAAAATGTATATGTCCAAAAAATAAATTTAAAATACAATAAATAAAAAATTTAATATATTTTATATAGAAAACATACATATTTATTAATACAATATATTACAATAATTTTGATAATTATACTAAGACATATAATATATACATACAATACAAAGCACTGTATGTTAAAATATTAAAAGGGAATGTTTTATTAATGAACAGAATCAAGAGATATTTCATTTTTTCTATATTTCCATTTCTTTATTTTATTTGTACAAAAAATATTGTCGATATAGCATCTGGATGAAGACGAGTTCTCATTTTATTTATTTTGTACCATTTTTCTTCGAAATGCAAATGGCACAACCGACAATTGTGATATGCATATTCTGGACCTTTTGGTTCTAAGTCCAGTCTTCCACATGCTCGTATCCATTGCAACCATCTACAAATTAGATATTTTATTAATAACGATGTACATAGAATTGAAAATTGATTTATATAAAAAGTGATAAAAACAACATACCTTTCATGTTCCTTCGGAAATCGGAAAAAATGACGCTCTTCTACATTAAATTTTTTTGTGCACGCTGGTACTGCACACTGTTACGTCCTGCAGACGCAGATTCTTTTCTTTCGAGAGAATCGGCTCCATTTTTGGAGTTGACACAGCACCTGAAACAGAAAGCTAAGATCAAAGTGCTCTTCCAAGAGAATTGGTAACCTATATAGTTATATAGGTTAACTATTCTCTCAAAAAGAAATCTTTCTTGCTCGGTTTTCTTTATTTTTGTTCACTTTTTCACTTTATTTCACTTTTTCACGAGACTAGTCTCTTGAGGTTTCTTACACAACACTTCGCTAAATGGACGATGTACGATTGCACGTTATATTTCCCTCCAAATTTCTACTCTCAGCTTTTTAAATGGAACATTGAAACGGTCATTTCAATAGAGAGAGAGCATAAAGGAGGAAATGAGACGAGGCAACATGCTTATTTGACGCATGCGCACTCCATTTTGGCCAACATAAAATCGGGAGAGTTGCGCTACTGTATATACTGTGCCTAAACTACATAAAAGACATATGACTTCATCGTCGAAACTCGCCAGCGTTGGAGCCAGCACCCTCTAATAGCGAGCGGCAGGAATTATGTTTAACACCTAATAATATTATTGTCGGACACTAATAGAATTGGAACAAAAGAAATTATAAACACTGTGCCATCAAAAAAAAACCTTTCGCAACTTCGTCATCATCGTCATTACTTGGGTGCTGATATTGTTTTAAATTTTCTCGGTTGACCATTTTTGTCTGGTAATCTGTTGTCCAGAAGCGTCATCCATACCCCATTTTCCATATAAAATCAATTTTTTACCGCGTAATTCATGGAGTTCTCCGTCGCTCAATGTTAAAAATATTCTTTCGGTAGTATGGTTTAATAACGATTCGACATTAACACTTGCGCCTAAGTCATTAAAGCTTAATCCTGTTGGATAGCACTTTTCTTTTACAGTCTTAATAATATTATACGGAGGATACAATTTACTTCCATGTATAGTTTCTTATTATATGCCCGTAGCTTTTCATACTTACCTTTCGTTAGTTCCAAATTAAAGTACATAGCTAAAATATCATTAACGTTATTTTCAATATTTTTAGTACTACTTTCTTCCACATCCGAATCGATATCAGATTGATTTAGCAGCTTTAATAAGTTCTTCGGCAGTATATTTTGAAAGCAGATTTTCAATACGCCTTTTTTTTGTTTTTTTAGAAGCTTTGTCATACGATAAACACGGACGACCTTTTTTCTTTATTGTTTTCATTTTGTCTTCTGGTGTAGGAACTTGTGATAAAAGAGTTGACGAAGGCTGTAAAATATTCTGAAATGATTGACCTAAATCAATATCGAATTTTACGATAGTCTTTATTTAAAAAGGTACTTTTTTCGAAACAGTTCTTTGTTACGAGAAACAGTTTTCCATTTTCTATTATATAAAGGG